CTGTTCCAAGTAATGTGTCTTTTAACAGTCTAGTATACGAAAAAGTGATATATCGTTTCAGGTATGTCACATTGGTGTATAGGTCTCATTGGTCACCCAAGATAGCACACCTCGCAACTGATTGCATAATGTCCGCCATTCTTTAAAAACGGTAATTTAGTTAGCCAATAATGAGCAATCAATCACTGTATTGGCGGTTAATCCTTTGAAGGAAGGACCTTGTTTTTACGCAGACACAGACACGACAGAGTGTATTCAGTATAGATTAGGAAATCTACATACATAAACACTACCTTTTGACAAATCCGCTGTGTAAGATAAAAGTAATTAACCAATCAGCGTGTTATCGGTTAATCCTTTGATCGATGTTTATAATGTTGAATATTTACTACAGACACAAGAAATGCCAAATGGGAACCTTTGTCGGGTAGTCTAAGTGGTGTTACCACTAATTATACCTGTTATAAATTCATTAACTGACCATCAAGTGAATGATGACAAATAACACGTGTAGGTTTATACCACCTAACACGGGTTACAACGAGGGAGTATTAATTCTGTATTGCATGCAATTTTAATTGCATGTGAAAACTTATGGGCCGACACTGTTTTCAGAATACGAACAGAACTTCATTGTTGCATAAGAAATACATATAAGCATTTTCTGTGTGCTAAAACTGTATGTACCTATTTACCTAAGTAAATTTTCAGATTCTTCTAGCAATGGCAAAATAGGGTTGTTTAGTTTACGGATTCAAATAAATCAAATGTCAATTTTTAATATCATACGTAATAGACGTCATATTTTTACATGACATGATTAAATATCGAGGTAAAAAAACACAGAAATGGGATCAATTTGGATAAGTCATTATACAAATAAGGCCTAACGACACCAAGCGATTTTGACAGAATCGTCTATGAAGACAAGTTGTAACTCGGAAACTAGGCAAAGCAGGAGACAAAATTATATGACAGAAAATTGTGAGAATATATAGCTTTCATTTTCCACAACAGTTGTCACGATTTCCGGTTTATACAAACCTGTAAACAAGATAATTTACCCCCCTGAATTGTAGATGAATTCTGCATCGGCCCTCATATCTATTCCTCATATGACGTCTTATTAGTTGAAATTTCGTTCGCGGGTGAGAATTGTGCACTGTTGTCAAAAAGGTCGATTTAAGTTGATTAAAGATCGAAGTGAGTAGTTTTAATGACGAGGTTTCATTTATAGCGATGCCAGTTAGTGATTTATGTATTTGTACCCCCCTAGAGTATATGTGATCTGTAAAAATAGGTCAATGAAAAACATGGTCGACATGACATTGACTTTATTGAGGTACTGGGCTATTTTAAACAATATGCTTAATATAAGGACATAGGCATATGATTAACGAATACAAATGTCATATGAAGCTCAATAACAACACACAACGATGCTCTGATACTTTTCGAAAGAACACAGATTTCCAAACATCGTATAACGTGGAAAAGGGATTGCCATGAAGATACTAGTATATATTCTCAAACTAGTCACAATATAATGATGGAAATAAACTGTGCTCTGTCCATTACCATCTAAACACAAATGAAAAATGTTTAGGAAATATTCCCTGCTGCCTAATTACTTACAAGCTTTCGTAAACAACTCCGTGTGTTTAATTGGAATCCCTTATGTCTAGGGAAACCGCCCCAACTATCAATACTCGGTATTGATGCACCAAACATTTACGTACATTTTACACATGGGTCGGTTACAATGTCCCAGCCGGTGGACATGACTTCAAAGAGCTAACGGTTTCTGCGTATTTATATTCTTTCAACTATATGTGAACACCTGTTGTCGCGGCTGATTGATCCAAACAGTTTTACAGCTCTTGTGCTTTTCTCGTCATCTGAAAATCGATATTAGTTATTTTCTGGCATTGATGTTGTATATTTCTAGAATGATCGTTTGCACCATGATTACTTGTTTGATAACGATGTTAGCATCTATATCGAAACGTCGCATCTATTGCAATAAATATGTTGTCTATCCTTTGAAAGTGTTCCTCTTCACCATACCAGCTTCTAAATGCTACTTAAAGAAGTAACATGGGTACTGGTTGGGATCAACGACTGGTGTTACCAAATAATAGCATTCTGTTCTCTAGTAATGTTTCGCTGTGTTGACATAATTTTATATATTGAAGGTGCTACATGGTAACGGTACCTGTGGGCCTATAACATGAACCGAATCTGTCACATGAATAATATGGTTTTACGCAATATTCCAGAAATGGGCTTCACACAGTGTGCCCAGACTGTGTAAATAATTACAGAGGCATGTCACTGGTGTTTTTTTGGGGGCCGTTAGTTACGTCTCTGTTGTGCCCAAAATGGGCGTTTTCCTGAAATATTTAACAGTATATCTGAGGCCCAAACAGCGTTTAGGAAATGGTTTTGTACAACTGATTTATTCATATGTTTTGTACAGAAGTATTTATCTAAATGTAATGGACGATTGTTTTTACAGTGAAACCCTTTTGGTATATCTTGGTATTTAATAATAAACAAAGGTCTTCGTGGTAAATTATTTTCAGTACTGGGAAATGTATCGGAATATCTAACACCACTATTACTGATCATTGGCTATAATACTAAATTGTCAGCCCGTTGTCATTTACAAATCTTATTTCAGAACTTCAATCCATAATAGATGTTTCAAATGTAAGAGGTATAGTTAAAGATATAGACGAATGTTATTGTATGCTGAGGATGTGTGTATTAATAATTAGTTTACAAAGAAATAAAAACATTTTATGTCGATATGCAAAATCACAATAGCATGTTTTAATGTAAGGATTCAACCTTCTTTACCACTACTAGAATAACAAGAAATCCTTTAAAAAGGCAACGTTGGAGGCACCTGAGTAAATTAAGAAATTTGGTGAGAAGGACGTGAGATGATTTGGGTGTGAAGCTGATTTCAAGAGCATCGCGATGACCATACCTCCGTCTATTAGAGACTTGCATCTGTTAGAGTACTGGCAGCGCAAATATGGAACTCTCATCTCCAGTACATGTATATGACATTTCATATCAAAGGTCTTTGTCATGTTTAACCATGTTGGGAAATGGAGTGCTAGTGACGGACAAAGGAAAAATGACCCTGTGTAGTGCCACTGCCGGGCCAGCGTCTATGAGCGCGTGTGGGTTCACACAGTGATTACTAAGGCGGTATACCATGTACCGTACGCTCAGCGCCCAGCACTCGCGGTATTGTTACTGAACACGCCGCTCGAACCGATTCTAGGAAATCAGTCGGCCATTCGCTAAATTCCACGAAAAGCAAATGGGTGCTACAAAACGGAATGGATTTTCCGATTCTGCAATTCGAAATTATGCAATGAAATAGTACAAGTGTGCGTGTAAAATTGTGTTGAATTGAAAGTGTATCATTAACGCTTTTGATCAGTAAAAACACAGAATGTGTTTAAATAAGAGATTTATAGAAAACTCGGTTTCTGAATTAACTATGAAGTAAAGAAATTACTTCAGATTACCCACATGGTCACGCTGCTCCTCATTTGCTACAGCTATGTTCATTGGTCATTTGACCGCCACCGTGGTGTAGTGGTTAGAGCGTCCTCCCGGAGAGCGGAAGGTCGCGGGTTCGATCCCCGACCGCGTCATACCACAAGACGTTAAAATATGGTACTTGTTGGTCCCTGCCTGGCGCTCGGCATTAATGGGTACAACAAGGACTGGTCGGCTCGGAGTCAGTATAATGTGTCTGAGTTGGGTATTCATGCTTCACTGCGGCGTGGTATCTCAGTGGGCTAGCACTATAAAACCAGTTTCAGCCTGGGCTAGTACAAGCAGCCACACATACACATACACACGCATGCACGTCGTCATATGAGCGAAATATTCTCAAGAACGACGTTAAACCCCATATCACCTCACCTCACCTTGCAAATAATTTGTGAAATAAGTGTCGACAATCCTCTTGTGTGGGCTTCAGTCAGTCGGATGTGGTTGGCTACTACCCTTGTTTATATTTTAAGGCGCTTCAATGAATACATACTGTGCGTACGGACGTTTGCAAGCATTCGTGACTAACTCGCCGAATGGAGGTAACGGAAAAGGGGCGAGTGGTGACGAATGTATTGAGGAAGTGCAACCCCAAATATAACAGATGTAAGGGAAATAGGCGTGGTAAAATCCTGAATAAAAAGATTATATCTCTTTCTTTGATATCTAAGCTCACAATTTTACAGAGATTCCCCAAATATTACTGATCCCCTTAGTTTGATCAGTTTATCGTGTTACAAATGTTCTCTAAACGTTGATTACAATATCTTTAAATAGTGTAGAATATTTTGGAAAGAGTATTCATACATTCATTCATCCATGAATATGAAAATGTGAATTGTGGGGCTTTGGATTAGCCTTGTGGTTAAGGCGTTTACCGAAGATACGGGTTCGATTACCCACATGGGTAAAATGTGTGACCCAATTGTTTGGTGTCTCTAGCCGTGATATTGCTGGAACATTGCTAAGTGCGGCCTAAAATCATACTCACCCATCCCCTGTTAATTTATATAAACATATAAGCCAAGGTTGGGGCTTCACAACATCAGCAGGCAAGAACCACCTGCAGCCAGGCCACCATCAGCAAATTGATAAATCGCTACCAGCAAATAGGCCAGACCCAAGACCGCCCAGGATAGGGAAGACCAAGAGCCACGACACAGGCCCAAGACCGCTACATCCGCCAGATTCACACCCGGAACAGATTTGTGACGGTGACGTCAAAGGTAGCAACAGCACTACGACACGCCATCAGCAGACAAACAGTACTTGGTATGGCTTGTATTCGACCCTACTGCGTTTAAAGATTTTCTGACAACTACAAAGCCCGAGGCCCGACTGTTGACAATGAAACAATAGTCGCTAATCGACAATGTAGGTGACACAGCACGTATATTGACGTGTTAGTGGCGCAGCTTGCAGTATACATTTAACTGTACACTGATGAAAAGTTCAATAAAATTTCGTTCCAGGAACTGAAGGGAGGTAGGAGACATGTTCTCTCAAGTCGCAGGTTTGTTGGTTTTGTTATTTACATATGTATGTCTTCAATCGATATGATGGTTTTGTTTGAAACGTAGTGACCATTTGGTGTTGAACGAACTGGCCAGGTGTGTATCTGTAGTATCTACCAACCTCTAGCAGTCTATCTTAGCAACTTGTGTATGTGAACCTGTAGGATCTACCACACTCTAGCAGTCTATCTAAGCAGCTTGTGTATGTGAACCTGTAGGATCTACCACACTCTAGCAGTCTATCTTAGCAACTTGTGTATGTGAACCTGTAGGATCTACCACACTCTAGCAGTCTATCTAAGCAGCTTGTGTATGTGAACCTGTAGTATCTACCAAACTCTAGCAGTCTATCTTAGCAACTTAGCAGCTTGTATATGTGTTACCAAACCCTAGCAGTCTATCTTGGCAGCTTGTATATGTGTTACCAAACCCTAGCAGTCTATCTTATCAGCTTGTATATGTGGGCTTGTAGTATCTACCAACCTCTAGCAGTCTGTCTTAGCAACTTGTGTATGTGAACCTGTAGTATCTACCAAACTCTAGCAGTCTATCTTAGCAACTTAGCAGCTTGTATATGTGTTACCAAACCCTAGCAGTCTATCTTGGCAGCATGTATATGTGTTACCAAACCCTAGCAGTCTATCTTGGCAGCGTGTATATGTGTACTTGTAGTATCTACCAACCTCTAGCAGTCTATCTTATCAGCTTGTGTATGTGATCCTCTTGTATGTACCAGCCCCTAGCAGTCTATCTTAGCAGCTTGTTTATGTGAACCTGGTGTATCTACCAAACTCTAGCAATCTATCTTATCAGCTAGTATATGTGTTACCAAACCCTAGCAGTCTATCTTGGCAGCTTGTATATGTGGACTTGTAGGATCTACCAACCTCTAGCAGTCTATCTTATCAGCTTGTATATGTGTTACCAAACCCTAGCAGTCTATCTTGGCAGCTTGTATATGTGGAACCAAACCCTAACAGTCTATCTTGGCAGCTTGTATATGTGGACGTGTAGGATCTACCAACCTCTAGCAGTCTATCTTATCAGCTTGTATATGTGTTACCAAACCCTAGCAGTCTATCTTGGCAGCGTGTACATGTGGACTTGTAGCATCTACCAACCTCCAGCAGTCTATCTTATCAGCTTGTGTATGTGATCCTCTGGTATGTACCAGCCTCTAGCAGTCTATCTTAGCAGCTTGTGTATATGAACCTGGAGTATCTACCAAACTCTAGCAGTCTATCTTAGCAGCTTGTGTATGTGAACCTGGAGTATCTACTTAACTGGAGCAGTCTATCTTAGCAGCTTGTATATGTGGACCTCTAGTATCTACTAAACTGTAGCTGTCTATCTTAGCAGTTTGTGTATGTGAACCTGTAGAGCGGGAGAGGTCCATTGGAATGCTGCAGACTGGGTCGACTGATCGGGAAGTGGCTGCTGTATTCGGGTGTCATCGCCTCACCATTCTAAGGCTGCGTCAGCGATTCCAGAATACTGGCACAACTAGAGGCAGACCCAGAAGCGGGAGGCCACCAGTTACAACCACTTCCCGATCAGTCGACCTAGTCTGAAGCATTCCAATGGCCCTCTCCCGCATTTCTGCTGTTAATCTCGGCATTGTAGTGAATGTATGGTGTGAAATGATAAATCTAGGGGCCTTATATACCCGTTTCCAACAGTTTTCACGCGCATTTCATGCAAGGTGAAGTTACAATGGGTACGTTTTGGCGTTATGCTTCCTTATACAAGGACAGAAATAGGCAAAATTAATCTTTTCTCGTTTGACGACTCTTCCTAAAACAGTCGAAAGTCAAGATGATCCAAAAATTAAACCTCAAGTGGTTGGAATGTGTTTTAAAGAGACAAATATCCAATTTCAGCATTGGGTCCCTTTTTACGGTAAACAACCATTCTCTCATATCCAAAACCCAACTTTATCACTCTTTGTGAATGTGCATGCATTATCATCATAAACAATATCATTTGGACCCATTTTTAACTGTTTTTACACTTTTGATTTGAATTTGTCCATGATTGAAAATAGGACAATGGACCCCACCTAAACAAACATGTCGATATGTTAATTATCAATGAATTCCTCAGTCTGATGTTTTGACTCAATAGAGTTACATGATTGGTTGTTAAAACCAAAGTCTTCTAGCCATATAACAGTTTAGGATATCTTAATGTTCAGTGGTGTAACATTTCTTTTGGCGTTCAGTTTAGATGAATTATTATTATTTATTATTATTTAGTAATATTCCAGGAATACCACGGCTTGGAACATCATCAATTGGCTTCACACATTGTACCCAAAACAAGCGACATCTTGCTTTAAGTAAGATGGTTCTGGGGCAAACTATGCTTTTAACAGTATACATGTTGATAGAGAAAAATGTATTTCTTCAATAAAGTATGGTAAACTATCAACAGCAGAATCTATTTCAGGTGGGAGTTATTGCTGTGTTTCTTTCATTCTGACATGTTGCCATTGATTTTCTTCCAGATGTTATTGGCAGGGTTACATCCATTTGCAAGAGGAGGACCCGGAGGCGAGTGTTCCTCTTGTTTGTAGCCGTGAACGTCGTGGTGTCACTCTACCTGTACCTTGTCGGGTTCCCATCTCCAGTCCCAGGCCTACAGGACCACGGTACACGCCACCTGGGCAGGGTCCTCGGGGATAGACATGACAAGCCAAAGGCCATCGACATTGTCTCCAGTGAAATCCTTCCACTCAAACATCCCGCTTTTGAACAGATAACTGGATTGTTCAACTATTCTCTATTAAAGGAAGGTGAAGAGAGGCATCCTCTTGTAAATCTGCATCAGTATCAGTTCACCTTGAACTCTAACCTCTGTCAGATAGGTCACGTGTATCTACTAACGATTGTTCACTCAGCCTTGGGTCATTTCAATTATCGACGTCGAATCCGAGAAACCTTTGGAAGCGTTCGTAAAGCGTGGAATAAAACAGTCGTTCTTGTGTTTACCGTCGGCGTTTCAAATAATGAAACACTTCAAACCAGTGTCGTAAGAGAAGCTAACGAATTCAAAGACATGATTCAAGGTAATTTCATTGATGTGTATAGAAATCTGAGTATAAAACACATTATGGGTTATCACTGGATGCTGAACCATTGTCCTGAAGCAGCCTTTGTGTTGAAGATGGATGATGACATGTTTATGAACCCATATATGATTGTCAAGTATCTCACTCAGCTGAAGGAACCTACTAATCAGCTCCTAGGCTCAATAGCTCACGGGTTAGTCCCATGGAGGGATCCTACAGTGAAATGGTACGTTTCAACAGCCCAATATCCGTTTAAAACTTGGCCCGATTTTTGTCAAGGACTTGGCTTTATTGTATCCAAAGACGTTTTGTTCAAGCTTTACCATGCGTCCTCAGTGACACGCTTTATCCCTATGGATGATGTATTTGTCACGGGTGTTATAAGATCTAATTTAGGCATTAACGCTACAGATTATGGGGACCTGAGATACAGTTGTACGACAAGAGTGCCTGTGTCGAGATTTCTCAGCGCTGGAGTGATGTACACATTTGATTCGTGTCTAAAGATTGCGTTCAAGAATGTGACCGCAATGAAAATGTACAGCAACGGTACATACCATTTGTCAATGTCGGACAAACGTATATTTATTACATAAATTTATTAACGAAATCAGGCTAATAATTAAACATAAATAATACTATAGCGAATCTGTCATGTATGTTCATTACTGATAATTCGCACCTGTGATAAGTACCTGTGATAATTCGTACTTGGCATTAACATGTTTCTCAGAACATAAAGGGACTATGGCCTACGGTGATGCTGAAGGGCTCCTGTTATCGATGACTGACCTATTGAAATATCTACTAGAAGATCATATTTATCTGTCAGTGGACGTTACTTGTGACTTTGAAAGATAAGGAAGACTGCATTACAAAGCTGCATGAAATTAAGCATTTCCATGTGATCCTGCGTGTTTGGAATCAGGTTTGGAAACTTCTTTGTATGGCACTTTAGACAATATTGACAAGCTTTATGTATAACAACTTCTTATATTTCATGAGTGTGACGTTTCGATACAGATTCTTTAGCGATCCAGGTTTGGACTAGCTGGATTCTATGTCCACAGTTGACATCACCGTTAAGAACTGTAATCAGCATATGCAACTGAGCGTTTATGTGTCAAATGTTTTGAGTTTGAGCTCTTAAAATGAAGCATTACATGTATTAAAATGTTCATAGTGTTGGACATAAACGAATGAATGAGTTGTATGTAATAATCTATTCACAGGGTTGAAATTAATTGAAATTGAAAAGACGCCTCAACTGTTTCAGTAGGAAAGCGATGCAACTGATGCATTAGTTGACGACGCCATGATATGATTGCAGTTCAGTGAACATTGTAGCAGTATCATGAAGCGTCTGATGTACCCTCTGTGTTGCAGTGTACCCTGCCCCCTCGACAAATAGGCTCAAATGTCGTGTGAGATAAGACTGCTTGTAGGGCGTTTACGAAGATAATAATTGTATCTCAGATGATCTACCACACCCAGTCAGAAACAGTCATTTAACACGAGGCATCCGTGAGGACTGAATCATCTGACAACTGTGATTGGATGATTTGGTGTAAGTTGTTTGTGTATTTTTAAATATCCAGTTATTGCAACTGACCATGCTGTTCAATATCTATTGTGCGATTTAACAGGATGACTTATGCTCAATGTGACAAAGGTATTTTGTGCGGAACTGGGGTTGGTCTGTTTAGTTTCCTGTGCTCGGATAAGGAGCTGGTTAAGCTGCGTCTTTCCTTTATTTTTCTTGCTGCTTTAAGGTAAGTGTGTGTTGTAATAGTTGTTGATGACCCAGTTAATTTTATAACCTTATAACCTTACTACATACGTCAGTGGGAAAATATTTGCTTTTGTGTTGCCTGGTAGCCATGCTCTTTTGCTGTTTTTATTGATGCTTTAAGGTAAGAGTGTGCACACATATAATTGTAATAGTTGTTTATGACTCAGCAACAGCAAAATATATGATGAAAAAAGAATATCAACTCAAAGCCGAACAATGAAGTGATGATTAAAACCTCCAACAAGTGTACCACCAGTGAATCTTTGGGGTATCGACATTTCACATTCAGTCCAGTTGTTGCGCCCTTAAGGTCAGGCAGATGGACATTAGCTTTCCTAGCAGCCGTCTTAAGACGCACGGGGATATATTCATATGAACAGGAACAGTAACAGTAAAGCCATGTCGCTTTTCCTGATAATACTTCCATCGATTAACATTGTAACCCTAACTATAAGAAGACGTCAAGGGATGGTTTAAATGCATGAATCAAAAGTCTGTTTAGTCTGAACAAATATATATTTTTTGCGAAATATGTGTTAAAATGCATCAGTAAGGAACCAACATGGAGAAAAAAGAGAGAGCATTGATACCGATATATGGTCATGAATGGACATATAGATTGTGACGTCAGCACTGGAACAATCGAAACCTGTACTTACTTTATTGTTTGGTATTTAAGTCACAAGATTAATGACGTGAAAGAGCTTTGAATCTTTCAAAGACACCCTGTCCTGCTGCGGAACTAGTGAATCAATGTGTTATTCAAGAGTAATATTTTTACTCATAACATGTCATGTTGACTCCCAAGTCCGAACAATTGTTTTCTTTCTTCATTATTAAAGTGTAGATTCATAACAATACCCCTTTTTCTGTTGTGCATTTAACATCGTCATACAGAAGTTATTTAATATCGTCATATACAAGTTATTTAATATCGTCATATACAAGTTATTTAATATCGTCATATAGAAGTAATTTAATATCGTCATATACAAGTTATTTAATATCGTCATATACAAGTTATTTAATATCGCTATATAGAAGTATTTAATATCATATACAAGTTATTTAATATCGTCATATACAAGTTATTTAATATCGTCATATACAAGTTATTTAATATCGTCATATATTATAGTCATATACAAGTTATTTAATATCGTCATATACAAGGTATTTATATCGTCATATACAAGTCATTTATACAAGTTATTTAATATCGTCATATACAATATCGTTATTTAATATCGTCATATACAAGTTATCAAATATCGTCATATACAAGTTATTTAATATCGTCATATACAAGTTATTTAATATCGTCATATATCGTCATTATTATTAATATCGTCATTACATCGTATTTATTAATATCGTCATATACAAGTTATTTAATATCGTCATATTATTTAATATCGTCATATACAAGTTATTTAATATCGTCATATACAAGTTATTTAATATCGTCATATACAAGTTATTTAATATCGTCATATACAAGTTATTTGATATCGTCATATACAAGTTATTTAATAACGTCATATACAAGTTATTTAATATCGTCATATACAAGTTATTTAATATCGTCATATACAAGTTATTGAATATCGTCATATACAAGTTATTTAATATCGTCATATACAAGTTATTTAATATCGTCATATACAAGTTATTTAATATCGTCATATACAAGTTATTTAATATCGTCATATACAAGTTATTTAATATCGTCATATACAAGTTATTTAATATCGTCATATACAAGTTATTTAATATCGTCATATACAAGTTATTTGATATCGTCATATACAAGTTATTTAATATCGTCATATACAAGTTGTTTAATATCGTCATATACAAGTTATTTAATATCGTCATATACAAGTTATTTAATATCGTCATATACAAGTTATTTAATATCGTCATATACAAGTTATTTAATATCGTCATATACAAGTTATTTAATATCGTCATATACAAGTTATTTAATATCGTCATATACAAGTTATTTAATATCGTCATATACAAGTTATTTAATATCGTGATATACAAGTTATTTAATAACGTCATATACAAGTTTTTTAATAACGTCATATACAAGGGATCAAATATCGTCATATACAAGTTATTTAATATCGTCATATACAAGTTATTTAATATCGTCATATACAAGTTATCAAATATCGTCATATATGAGTTATCTAATATCGTCATATACAAGTTATTTAATATCGTCATATACCAGTTATTTAATAACGTCATATACAAGTTATTTAATATCGTCATATACAAGTTATTTAATATCGTCATATACAAGTTATTTAATATCGTCATATACAAGTTATTTAATATCGTCATATACAAGTTATTTAATATCGTCATATACAAGTTATTTAATATCGTCATATACAAGTTATCAAATATCGTCATATACAAGTTATGTCAAAACATACACAGGTATGTCTTGACTTATAACATGACATAAATTTGTTGCCAAATTACTAAATCAATTACATAACAGCCATTGCACATAGTTATCTTCCAGATATACATTTCATTTGTGAATGTTGGTGGCTTCATGAGAAGTCAGCTAACCCTGACTATAAAGATTGATTAAATCATCAAATACAACAATGCTTACTGAAACGCTAAATGACTGTCGTCATTCCTCACTGTATAAGATATATAAAGAACAGAAGGTCACGTGGCCTAGCTGCCCTTGTGGATGTTATAGACACATATATTGTCATTGTACGGTGATACGTCAAGATCCAGTACAACAGATGTGATATTGAAGTGAGTAGAGTCGAAGACGTACTGGGATGAACCAGTCTGGCAACAACACTTCTTTGTCTGGACCTGCAAACTTTACATCTGCGCCACCTTGGTCGTCTTCTACTGACCTTACGTATATATAGACAGCCAGCTGTCGTGGACTTATGATCGGTTTGTTGAAGGAAGTGGATATGATTTGATAGATGTTTTGTATGATTTCTTAGAACGATGAATTGTTAAAGAACAAATAAACTTGGTTTTTTTACTCTTTTAACTATTATATATGAAAGATTTGTGGTCAGTCTTATGCGGAAAACCAAATTCATTCTTTAAAAACTTGTGGTTAATTAGTACCGAGCGATTAAAAGTGGCCAAAAAGTCGCCTGCTTCACTCTCGCCCGCCAACGAAACCACAGACAGGTTACGTAACTCTGTCGCCAGAGCACTGCAGTGACGTCATATGAGGAACGATTTTCAGTTAGTTGTATAGAAAGTGTGTAGCACGCTCATCATTTTGATGATTTCTCGACATCAACGACGACATGCCGAATCGTTGCGTTGTCGTCATTTGCCTCTAGAAGTCGGGCGATGGTGTCGCCATGCACAGATTTCCACAGGACCCGCAGTTCGTGCAAAATGGGTTATGTTTGTGAGTGCGAAGCGAGCATTGTGGAAGCCTGAAACGATATCTTACTTGTGTTCAGATCGCTTCACGGAAGTTAAAGAATCAAAACTACTTACTAGTCGTAGTAAAATATGTATATGATTGATGACCATAGAGATTTTCCATGACACAACTTGTAACATAACGATTTCTGCCTCAGAAGCGAGGTTGTGGTCGAAGTAACAATAATACTGTAAGTAGTATTATATTGACACCCACCTCGCTTCCACGAGAGAAATTGTTATGTTATATGCAATGTCATGCAAAATCCTATTGGCCATCAATCAAATACATATTTTACTACCAGTAGAAAGTAGTTTTGATTTTGTAACTCGGTGAAAACAAACCTAAATAGCATTTATACTCAGACTGACGGATGTTCTCGACAGGGCGCTGCCATTTTTGAAAATCGTAAAGTCACGGGCTAAAGTCTGTTAGAATTAATGAGATTATGGTTTGTTTTCATCAAGTTAGAAAATCAAAACTACTTTCTACTCGTAGTTAAATATGTAGTTGAATCATAACCAAAAGCATTTTGCGTGACACAACTTATAACATAACGATTTCTTCCACGGAAGCGAGGTGGGGGGTCGAAGTGACAATACTGTGCAATAAATTTCTTGCTACATTTACGTGGTTAACGTCCACTCACCAGTATGTAGATACTAGTCAATGTACGTCTTTATATTTGGTCTTATAATCATACTTGTATGCATTTTGAAACTAAATAAAAATCAGACGATCTGCTGATACTTATAGTGCATTTATAACAGGACTGTAATATCTAGACATTTGATATAATATAGTTTGCCAATGTGAATCATAATTCGCACACACGCCCTAATGTATGTCTCATTACACTTCATGGCGAAAACAACAATTCTGTTGAATGCTACGACAAATGAATAAAAACAAAATGCAAATATTAAAATCAAAACAGATTAAAGTTATAAGAACAATGTCAGGCTA